GACAGCCGTTGGGGAGATGAGAGGAAAGCCCCCAAAGGAGAGGGGGAAGCTTGAAAGTGAGGAGAGAGATGAGACGAGTGGTGGGGACAACTTGGACGCTGACACAGGTAGAGTGAGGGGTAGGGAGCCATTAGGAGGTACTCTAAGTGACTCTGACGGGGACAGCATACTGAGCCTGGATGTTCCAGAAACCTCACTGGATGAGGAGGATGAAGCAGAGGAGGAGGAGGAGCAAGAAGAGGGGGGGCTGCTGTTGGTTCTGGGCACAGGTGTCCTACCCTGAGGGTGTTGTAGAAGAAGGTGGTGGGGGAGAGGGGAAGGGGCTGTCCCATAAGCTGAGCTCCAGGCCAAGTGTTCCAGTCCAGTGTGCGCCTCTCTCTGTGAGGCATAGTTACTGAGGTGGGACACCAAACGCACCCGCAGGGAGTCTGTACCATCCCGGCCCTCGACAAAGCTCAGGTAGCGGGCCGTCTCTGCCATGCATTCCCTGAAGCCCAAGCTGCGGTAATCCTTCGCGAGAGCATGGGCCTCAAAGTAACCTGTCAAGTGAGACAACAGAGCTTTTAATGAAGCATAAATCTACAGCAGGTAGTCTAGTTTTGCATCGCAATGTCACAGGAGTATTCACCTTTTCCTCCAGATGCATGAAGCATTTTCAGGTGGTCCACTGTCATTTGTAAAATTTCAGCTTTTTCCAATTTAGCGGATCCCTGAGAAATAGGAAGATTAATGCTGTTATTTTAATTCCAGATTAATATGGATGTGACCTATATTTAAATAAAAAACAACAACAAAACAGCCTGAGCTCAGGCTCAGAGGCTGGGAGAAATTAATGGCAATTCACCTGCTTTTCAAAAGCACTTGGCACCAGTCTTCTCAGCTCTGACAGGCTATTATTGATCCGATCACGTCTCCTTTTCTCTATTATCTGTTTGAAAACATTTCATTGTAAGACATATCTATATTAAACATACAAATTCCAAGTATAAATAAATTGAATGAGTCTGCAATTTGAAAAGTTAGCCCTAGACTTTTGCATACCCCTCTGCGCCTTTTTCTGGCTTGAACTTGAGTGGTGGTGGTAGTGGGTGACATGGATCCTGGAGAGTAAGCCTGACTAAAAGATAAATACAAGTGTATAAATATATATGTCAGATTGGCATTGAAATTACATATGACACATTTCTTGTGGTAATTCAGACACAATGCATACTTAATCTAAAAAAAAACAAAGCAAACAAACATAACATAAGGTAACTGGGAAAAAAATGTCCTACCCATTTTCATCTCCACTGTCCTTCTCCACCTCCACATTGTCGTCCAGCTCGCTGTCTGATGAGCTGTAGTTCAGGCTTCGCTTCATTCTGATTTCCAGGCGCACAGAGAGCTCTGGCTGCGGAGGGTCTGAGCAACAGTTTGATCAGCAGGATCTGCTTCTGCTGGGATTACTTTGGCTCTGCTTGAAGGGGGCGGGGCCTGTTCAATGAGATGGGCGTGGCTAAAAAACACAGAGCAACCTCAAACTAACACCTTAATGACGTGTTAATTTAAGATATATGCTGGGTGGAAAAGCTTAAATGCATCCCTGTACATCTTTCTTTTTTTTTTTTTTCTTTTTTTTTTTTTTTACTTTTTTTGGTTTTCAAACCACAGGGGGTTCCTAGATTTTAATCTTAATTTACTGTTTTTTTTTAACTTTGTTTTTTGAGATATTAGATTTAAAATCAAAGATGCACAGCTGCATGAGGCAGGATTGTGGTTTGAATATTTAGATTAGGTTCTGTTTTTAGACAACACATGAGAAGCACTGTTCTGTTATTCAGCGGATTCTGTGAGAGTTAAATCCAAACTTTTAATCCTATATTCTTTGGTAAAATTTTAAATGACAGTACATTACTTTACCTGAAAAGACTGAAAAACTTTAGTCTCATAAATATGCACTCAAAAAATCCCCCACCATAAATAAATAGACAGTTATAAAAATAAACATTATTCAGTTTGTAAAGTGTTACTTCCGTTATTTAGTAAATGAGAGTAATTTTAACGTTTTTAGTTGTGTTCTTGGGATAGTATATAAAAGAAAAACAAACATATATAAAAAAAGCAGCAATGTAATTTAAATAAATGCTTTGGCATATATTTTGCATGACCATCCAACAACATTAAGATCATAATTACAATGCAACATGAAATTAAACTGTAAAAAGAAGAACATTTAACAAATGCATCTATTTTTGAAGATGTCCGGTTTATGAAAATATGTGATCAAAGACCTGTTGTTCATAGTGTAGGGTTCCCGCTCTCTGCCTGACATGTCTGTTCAGTCCATCAGAGGAAATACCCCCCCCTCCGGCTGTCTCACAGACCACTACCTTGTTGAGACACAGCTGTTTCTGCTCCATCAGGTCAGTTGTTAACTGCGTGCACTGGGAGCAGGACAAGTGCAGATGAGAGCTTGAATACCGTGAACAACTGCTGTTAAGATCAACAATCCCTGCTCCCAGCAGGTCATAGATATTTCCATAACTTCAGGTACAGCATGAAGCGAGTCTCTCATATGAAGATAGAAGAAAACACAAAGACAACCACATTATTCTTTTCTCATAAGGAAAAGAAAACGAAGAAAATTACAATAATTTTCCACAGTTTTTCTGTAACATGTCTTATTCTTAACCCTTTTTAATACAATAAACATTCCTATTTGCACACACTGGATACCTTAAGGATTTGTTCAGAATCCCTATGCTTGTATGTTTTTTTTTTATTATTATTATAGTGTCCTGTCTGCCAATGTGGCAATAAGAATAATTGTCTTGATGGCAAAAAGAGCCCAACAGATTTTACTTTCACAAGTGAAGCAGTTTGGCTATTGCCATATTGTCCCACTTGTTTCATGCATATAAATTGCTTTATTATAATTATGCAGGGAGTTTTACAGATTATATGGGCAATGCAATGTAAATAGAACAGAAGAGGAAAAACAGAAGAAGAGAAAAAAGAAAGAAGAAAAAAAGATGAAAGTAATAGGAGATAGAAAGGAGATAATGATAAAACATTTTCAGTCTGCTTTATCACCTGCAACGAGATGTAAAAAGAACAGCACAACCAAAAGACACGGTACGAGACATACAATAGAGTAACACCTTGAAACTATCGCTGAAGTAGTATATGCTTGTATGTTAAAAATAAAAACTCTTGGCATTAAGTCAGTGTAGAACTCAATAAAAGAGCATTTTTTTTAGAAATACCTCTTAGTTTTAAGATGGCTTATTTTTACATTATAAAGTTAATCTGATCAAATTCCTCAGCCTATTAGATCCTGTTTTGATGAACATGTTTTACATTGAAGGTTATTAACAGTGCAGCATGTAGACTACCTCTTCCTAACTGGAATGAAACTGCAGACTTTAGCATTTTGGTGCAACGGTGACATAAAATCAAATGCCCATACATCTGATTTTGCATCAACATTTGTTGCTGAAGTCCATGTCCAGTGTTGGAAATGAACATGATCTCATCTTTAGGCATAAGTAAAATGTCAATTTGCATGATATTAGAGAGTTAATGTATGTACTGTAGAGATTTGATACTAAAAACTCCCAACTTTTCAACAGAATCTCGCTTTTAAAAAGCTGAACTGTTCTTTTTAATTGTTTATAGCTGGGCACACAGTTTTTGGATCTACATTTTTTTTAATAGTTCTCTGTGATTAGTACTTTATATGCAGTGGGCAACAGTGGATGGATGGATCTCTTTTAAGATCTTCATTCATCTTAGAACTGTCAGAAAAAAATGGAGAAAGCAGTTTAAAAATCTGAATATTGTTCTATCCTCTATTTTCCTGTTCATACTAACCCTGAACTAGAATCTACTTCATCATTAAATCAGATTCTGGACATGTGCACTAAGAAGGAACCCATTTCTGTCACACTGAGCGAATTAGCAGTAGAACATGTCTGCAGGTCCATTAGGCATCAGTGTGACACATAGCATAATGGTTGGTTAACAAACATGTCTGTCTTATGCTAAAAGGAAAACTGTCACTGAAACTGCAACAGACTAAATTTTGGAAGCTCGGTCAATCAAAGCCTTATCTCTTGTATTATCATCCTACAGTGAACCTTTCATGACCTGTTATTGTAGTAATGGAGCTTTGCTGCTTTCCAGGTGGCTCCCATTATGTGGACACAAGCCTCTATCGCCTCACCGGTAAGGTCCTCTACATTTGGAACCGACATTCCTTTGGCCCCTAAAGTGTCCTAATTATGATATATCTTAACAAAAAACCTTGGTTGTGTCTGAACATCCGCCATGATCACTATAAAGCCCTAGCGCTATATAGTGATTGAGGGATTTAGGGGTTAGGGTGTACGTTCAGACACAGCCTTTGACCTTTTAGCTCTGACATCAGAAATGCGGAGGTGATCATCATAAATGTTTGGATCAGTTTTGTTTCGGGTCATTTGTTTATGACTGACACCTTTCACTAGATTATCTTTAAGCTGCACAGCCTTAGCAGCATGCCAGGCTGGCAAGTGACCTCTGGATGTAATTTAGCACCAGCGTGAAGAAGAAACTGCTCTCAAACCATATGCCAGGAAGCTAAAATGTATAAGCAACCATTTGTTTGAAACTGGCGTGTGCCCAGCTGCCTTCCTCAATCTTCCCTTAGGTTTCCCCGGGTGACTCTTTGTGTGCAAGAGTGCGGCCCGAGTGTCTGCCGGTGTGTGTTTGTGAGTGTTTACGTGTGTTTGTGTGAACGGGAGTGTGTGGGCGTGTTCATGAGGTGCTGTTTCCCACAGCCCTGATCTAATTCTGTGGTAACTCAATCTCCGTGTGAGCACTTCCCGGCGAGTGTTCTCCCACCCGTCGACAGTCTCTCCCTGGCTGGTTTAGTGTGTCTGACGGAGGTCTCCTTCTCAGCCTCCCCCACCCCTTCCACCTCCCTAGTCTTACATGCCCTCCCATCAGGATTGATTTACTATGTCAACCGTTGTGGCAGTCGGCAGCAGCGACGCTCACAGCCGGGCCTGCATCCTGTGTGCACACCATCTCGACATCTTATACCTGCCACTCAGCAACTGCTGCAGTGAAGTTTGCATTTTGTGGCTGCTGTGGGGAGAGAGGCCATCAGGGAGGTACTTGAGTTTGTGAGATAATTTCCTTCTTCATGTTTTATTCAGCTGGGGTCTGAAAATAGGAGGGGGGTGGGATGGGGAAAAGCCTGAACTTTGCCGCACGCAAGAGGTATGAAATTATGTAAGGCAGGGAAAATGCCACCCAAGTTGGACCTAAATAAGCCGTCCGACTTAGGGAAATGTCTCCAAGACAGCCTCCGTACAACAATGTTATCCTATGGGCCACAGCTTCCTGCTTGTCCCCTCTTATTCCAGTCAGCACCCAGGCGCTATATCGGGCAAAGAACAGAGCAGGCCTGGGATCAATTCCCACTGTTTGACCACAATACACCCGCCTGCTCATTCTTTACTTTCCTGCCTTTGTTGGCATCCTTTCTATTTGTGCTTTTTGGATAGGTAAAGCCAAGAAGGATATGTTGACTTCCTTGTTTCTTTGTTTAGCATGATGTTTTGTTTCTTTTTTTCATTCAGTTTTGTTGTTTTTATAAGGACAGATTTCAGGTCAGGCCTGCTCAGTGGCTTTGATAGCTTTACCGACACTTTTGAAGAAAATCATCCTTTTTGAGCAAAAACGGTTAAACGAATGAAACTCTATTGAGTCCTGTTAGATTACAGCGACCTCATGATTATCAGCTACCTGTTACCATTCATCTTTTTGTAAGTTCACAATAGTGGGAAGGGAGATTACAAATAAGAGCAGCAGGAGACAGAGTGTAATGTCCTTCCAGAAAAAGGAGTTCTCTGAAGACAGCTTACCTATAAGGCCACACATTGTGTTGCCACAGGAAGAACATTGTTTGCATATCAATTCAGTATGAGACAAGTTTTATTTTGTGTATTACTATATATATATATATATATATATATATATATATATATATATATATATATATATATATATATAGATAGTGTAACTAAAAGAAAGAAAATATTGATAAATATTAGAAAGACTTAGCTGTGGTTACAGCTGGCAGAGTTTTAAGGTATAATCTCAGCTTTGCACATGTGGAGCTTCCCCCTTTCTTAAAGATTTTGGAGAAAAAAAATTCTATGAAACCACTCTGAAGCCTTTCATGAGGAAACTTGGGTGCTTGATTTTTTTCTTTTTCAGTCTGTCTTTAAACATCTTCATTGCACAGAATCTACATTGTTGAGGATTTTTAAGGACCTCCTACTAACAGATTCAGGAAACCATGCAATCCTGTGGACCATAGCATTCTGCTTTCCCACTCAGAGCACTGTGCAAGCATCCGAGGTACGACACAAGAATGGTTCTGATTGTGTTGGCTAAAATAACTTTTTGTCACTGTATTAAACGACTGCAGAACCCCTTCTCCATTGGTGTGTGGTGTCCAGCAGGGCCTAATTCTCACACCTCGGCTGCTTTCCACTTATTTTGCCTGTTGGCTCTATTTTCAGAAACCATATGATTACTGTTGTTTTAAGCAAATAATACTCATGTGTTTTATGCGGATGACACTCAAGACCGAGGTGATGATTTTTAGTTCTAATGCCATTAGTTAGTCTTCCTTTTATATTTATATGTGGGATATTTGGTAGAGTAAGAAAGGCTATTTTGACAAACATTGGCTTCAAAACATACAGAGGCTTTAAACTGGATGTGCACTAGTACAATCCAGCTTATTTTACAAAAGGCAACTGGGTAATTTTAAAAGCCTCTTATCAAAAGACAGTAAAGTAGTTAAAAGTAGTAATTGATGCCTTTGTTGCAACCAAATGGATTACAGTAATTCCTAATCTAGTAAGTCATAGCATACATACCGCACCTTCAACTGGTACAAAAACTCAGCAACACAGCTTTTAACTGAAACACAAAGGAGAGAACATATTACTAACATTTGATCATCTCTGGAGTGATGCCTGTCCATTTTAGAGCTCTTTTTTTTTTTACTTTTGGTCTTTCCCCTCCTTATTCCTGTATGGAAGTGCAATACTCTCCTCTGCTTGCAGTGGCGCCTCCAGACAGGTTTCATAGGGGTGGCCAGATTGGGCCACTAAAATCCTTGGGGTGGCACACTGAAATTAAAAGCCATAATTTCAGGGTTTGAATTTACTATTGTGGTAAACCTGCCTGTAGAAATAATAAAGACTTAAAGCTACAGTGTGTAATAATTACAGGGATATAAAGTCAGAAATTTAATATATTATACATAACTATGTTATTTATCATCACCTATGAGCTCAGCCTTTTAACCATAATATTTGCGTTGCCTTAGAATTCGTTATTTATAATTACATAGGAGCGGGTCTCGCAGCCATGGGGGCTGACATCTTTGCGCTACGGCAAGCGCAGAGGCAACAAACTAGCGATTGCGAGATCTCCCATTACGCTCGAAAATAACTACGGCAAGTTGAGAGAGATTAACTGAGACGGTACTGAACAGTAGATGGCAGTATTATGCCTGAGAAGCGTTTAGTCTGCCTGAAACCAAAGAAGAAGAAGAAGCAGGTATACTGCGCCTCAGTAACAAGAAAGGTGAACAAGGCGGCAGGCGTGAGTGACTTTGCAAACTGTTTGGCACTGTGTGGCCAAACATCAGACGAATGGAGGATCATGCCTACTCTGTATCACAACGAAAAGCGGCGGACACCGAACCCCCGTCATCTAAGAAGCGGAAACACAACGAGAATAAACGCAAGCGTGACAAGAAACGGCAAAAAACACGGATCAACATTGGCACGGAATTTACACGATGGAAGTCACTGATGGAGGAAAAAGGTTTTCAAAGTGACGCTCAAGTTGCCAGTTTTCTCTTGGACAGGTAATTAATCCTACACACACAATTGTCTAATATCACTGCAGTTTTTGGAGTACAGGATGCTCAGACCTGTCTAAAACAATAACATGCTGCGTGATGATGCTGTTACTCTACAGTATACTTATTCAGCAACGTCCCTGACGTTTCACAGGTAATGATTCAGTAATTTTCTGTAAAATAATTTTCTGGATATATACCTCGGTTACTTCTCTCCGGCTCCTTTGGAGATCTTCAAGCCTTTCCTCCTCTGCTCTCACCCCGCTGGCACCGCTGCACGCTCACCCCGGCCTCTCTGCCCTCGCCCTCTTCCTCGCCTTGTAACCCCCGTGCAACAAACAAGACTTGGACTCTGTAAACGGGGAATATATATTCTTCCAGCGAACACAATCTCGCTGTTAAACTAATGACTACAATTACTTCATCTGTTTATATCACCATGCAAAGCAGCTCACCAAAACGTCACAACAATGTAGAAAAAATAACGGGTATATTTATTATCTTAAGTCTACATGAAATCTATACCCTACACAGACTAATGAAATACTATCTGTAAAATTATCTATGTAAACAAACCTCATCACTTGAGAAGGTAGGTGATGCGGACGTCGTGGAAGACATTTTGTCCCGTAACGCTCGCCGTACTGTTGGGGGGGAGAAGGGGTGGGGGGGAGACGTTCATGTTGCTGCAGTCTGCAGTCTGACCGCTAGATGTCGCTGAAAATTACACACTGTAGCTTTAAGTAAACAGCTACTCATATCTTGGTTGATTGTGTGATTTTTATTGTTATGTCGCTGGCTGTGCATGATGGGATTAAATGCTAAACTGATGTTACCACAATTTACACTGGGTGAGCGGGGGTGGCCAGGGCATTGCACAGAGTGGCCATGGCCACCCTTGGCCACCCCCTGGTGGCACCCCTGTCTGCTTGTTACCTCAGATAGGCTGTTTGTAGACGTACCAAAGAAAAAAATTAAGCTCAGGATAGATCCAGCTTTGGCAGCTTCCACGTTATCAAACCCTTTTTTCTGCAAAAATTTAGAACCCTGCTTTAGCAATCAGTTGTGAATCCGCTCTTAAGACCCACTTCTTCTTTTCCATTTGGATAAAGATTTTATAATTTTTAGCCTTCTTTTTTATGTTGTTTTTTCATGTGTATAACTTGTGGTTTTATTTCTACTTTTTTACTAACATTTTATTTAGATCCTTATTGCTTTTATTTAACCTTCTTAATCATTCCTTCTGTGCAGTACTTTAGCACGTACCTGCTAATTTTAAAATAGTTCACCAAAAAAAGTAAGCTTGCCTTGGCTTAAACACTGCTCTCTTCAAAAATCGCTCAAGTTTTTTTTAGACTGGATGGATATTGTATGAATGGCACCGCAACCGTCACCTGCACAAAATAAAATCATGGAAGGGGGTCAGTTTGTGATTAGTTGAATATTATGTATACAATAAAAAGGCTTTCTCTTTTTAAAAGAGAGCCGGCTCCTTTCCCAGTGGATGCTCTTTGCCAGCTGTCTGCTCTGCGGTAAAGTAGTGCTTTCCCAAGCTCTGACCTGTGGGAAAATTTGTTGCGGCCAGTAATTGATTCCGCCCTGCCAGCCCCATTACTCTCCACTGCAGTCAAACTGCCAGTGATCTGCAGAAAGCCCCTGTTAGCACAGCCCCCTTTACTCTTTCTCTTTAGTGTTACACAAACATTAAGCAGAATCTAAGCAAGCCCCACTTCTAGATCTGTTGTTTTTCTTTTTCCTTCAGTTTTTTAGGGACGAATGGAAAGCTAATCTTAAATCGAATAATATTGGATGTTCCCTTCTGTATATTCATTGCATTTATTTTTTTCAGGTGAAATATATGTCCCTTAGCAATTATATAATGTGTATGTTTTTTTTTTTTTTTTTTTATTCACGGCTAGAAATAGCATTAACAGATTTAGTTGTAACATTACCATGCAACACAAATGTAATGCTTATAGAAAATACATTTTCCATGATTTCTGTCTACTTTAAGAAGGGAATTTTATTATTTATTTAGCTGGATAGCTGTATGACTCGGAGACAAACACACCCCTTTCGTTTGTCATGAAATATTCAGTGCAGTCATCTGCAGAGATGTCTGACTTTCTTTCCACTGTCCAACACTTACCACATGTCTAAATAAAGATAAGCACCCTCTCCTCCTTTTAATTAGCATTCAATTAGGGGGGCTCTTCTCTGTGCATATACATCTGCGCTTGTACAGCCAGGTACCAGCAGTTGTGTATGTGTGTGAGTTCAAGGTTACGCAAGGATCATCATGGGAGGAGGATAAAAGTGTCCATCCTGACGCACTGCATGGTCAAATGATGATCTAACTTCTTGCCATATCAATTACGTAGCGTCGCTTTGAACCAAGCCTTTTTAGAACCAATGGAAAAAAACAACTTCTTGTGAGCTGTAGAAAGACACGAGTGGCTTCAAGCAGAGTGATTTATCAAGGCTTCTCATGACTCTGGTGGGCTTTATATAACTACCAGCTGAGGGGTGCACTTTCCCATATTGTAAGAGGTCAGGAGGCCACCCTCTGAGCACTGTGCCAGAGGAATTTCATCCCACTGTTGGGAGATCTGAGAACGGATAAAAGAGGAGAGAACTGTACATCAGTTTAGCTCCTGGTGACCCCCACCCACTCACCCACTGACTGAACCCCATGAACAGCTATTTTCCTGCACCTCTTGCTTTATTGACAGAACAAGCAGCTTCACTGTGTGAGGGAAAGACCGTCACCCCCCTTTTCTCTCAACTCTCCCCTTGCAGCTCCACTGTCGGTGTGCTGCAAACCGGCAGCCCGAGGCTCAGGGAGCGTGTGGGATAAAAGGATGAGAGGGAAGATCAAAGCGGAAAGCATGAAAAAGCTCAAAGCACACAAGCAAGAGGCACCTCCCTGACCTCTTCGTACACACACACACACACACTCTCTTTACCCCGTCTACGCAGCACGGCCTGGCGCCTGCCCCTATGCTTTTCCCTGCAGCTGCAGAGAAAGGCAAAGAGTAGAGGGCACATCATTCAGGCCGTGTGAGCCTCTCTGATTATAGTCTGTAACTGCTGGGAACCTGACCTCAACTGATGCCCCCTACTGGTTCCAGACGTGCAGCACCCACCTGTTTAATGTCACTCATCAAACTTGAAGGTATGCATCACATTGTCAGTTTTTCTTTGGTTAAGAAGGATTGAAGATGTACTGTAGGATAGTTATGTCTAGTTATGGTTTCTTGTTTTTTTTTTTCAGGCACTGGATGAAAAATGTGTCATATAAAATTTGAATCGACGTTTACGATGATTAAAAGACTCATTTGGACCAGCAGCAGGCCTCTTAGGTAAGATGCTTGTGATATTTTCTCCATTTTGATACAAGAAAGGATACAATGTTTGCCTATGTCCTGGATTCACATAACTATGATGACTATTAAAGGTGCTGCATCTAGTTGCTAACCGGCCTTCTTCTGAGGACACTGAGGTCTTTTAGAGTGCTGAATGTACTCCTAAAGACCTTCTTTGATTCTGGTGTGGCATCAGCCTTCTTCTATGGAGCTGTCTGTTGGAGCAGTGGCTTATCTGTTGCTGAGAGAATGCGGCTGCGTAAGCTGATCAGGAAGGCCACCTCTTTGATTGGATGCCCTCTGGACTCAGTGCAGGAGGTGGGAAAAACAAAGGACCCTAACTAAATTAACATCTCTGTGGGATGTTTCCCATCCCATGCCTGAAGCTGTTGCAGAACTGGAAAGCTCCTTCGGTGACAAACTGCTGCACCCTAAACGCACCAGGGAGCGTTATCAGAAATCCTTCCTCCCAGCAGCTATTAGACATTATAACCATCGCTGTTCCCAACGACCTCAATAAGTTGTTACATTTGTGCAGTTTTTGCACAGTTTCTGTCTTAGTCAGTTAAATAAGTTGCTGCTTTAATTTTGCACATCTCTGGTGTTGCTGCTATTTTTCACATATCCATTACTGTAAAAATTTTCACAGCTGCATATTGTTTTTTTAAATTCTCCAGGTACATAGTGTTATATTGTAAAACACTGTGCAGCATAATACTGTATTTGTATTAATTCCCTATCTGTCATGTTTGTACACTTTTTGTACAATGTGTGACCACTTGTCAGTGACTGCTATCTGGACAACTGTCAGATAAACTTTTATCTTAGTGGCTGGCTTTACTCTTCAAATTTGAAGAGAGTTAAACACTATAGAGGTATCCCCATGTGCCTGATAAATCTATGTAACACAACCTTTGTCTTTTAGGATATACTTTTATTGGGGCTTTTAATGTTCTGATGGACAGCCAGATTAACACAAAGTCTCATCGAGTTAAGCACTATACATTATCAACCATGACCCCAGTTTTACCTGCATTAAGTTGCAGTTTACAAAAAGCCCAGTCAGGCACTTGAAGCTCTTCCTTGGCCCTGAGGATCCTCTCTCCATTATTCATGAGTGCTCAGGTTGGACCCTGGGAACAAGCTGAACGAGGCCCTGTGTCAATACGCAACACTGGCCACCACAATGAGCTCTGCCTCCAACTACACTGTTGACAGACACTGACACAAAGGGGCTGAAAGGGGTCCCCCTCCGTTCTCACACACACTGAAGAATGAGTCAGTGTGCTGCCGCTCAGAGCTGTGTTTGTACAGTATACTCAGCTTTTGTTCCTGGCCACTGTTCTCCCATCAATGGGGTCTGAAAGTGTTGATGAAAACCAGAAGGAAGGGAGTCCTGTGTGGATGCCAGCAAGAGTTCATGTTCATTAGATGGGTTCTGGGCCTTCTTTACGGCACCTGTATGTACACAGGAAAACCACGGCCGACAGAACAACAAGTAAGCAGCTTACTGGATTGGTAAACAGCCTTTCAACACATATTGCATTCATACATATATATATATATATATATATATATATATATATATATATATATATATATATATATATATTTATTTATAAATACATACACACGTTTCTCTTTCTATTCCTCTGATATCCTGCTGTTGGAAGTATTTCCAACATGCAATAAAATGAAATATGGGAAAAAACAAGAATTCACTATGGGACTAACCACATATGGTATCTTAAGGCCCTTAAGGCTAGAGCTTTGATTAAAATATCATGTTTTCCAGAGCCTGTTTCCATGGCAATTCTAAAAAGAAAAAGAAAAACTAAATTAAACATAATCTCTCTGTTTACTCAAGTTATCGTTGTTCTCAATTGATCTTCTTGATCAAATGAGGGCTATTCACATAAGAAATACTTTGAATATTTTAAATCATATCATTGCCAGGAAGGATCTCCTGTGGTGGTCTGTCATACAGTAGATCTGGAGAAGCTTCTGTCTGAATACACCCTGGTGTTTGTTTACAAATTTATATGGTCAAACACCTGTAGTTGCTTTTAAGCTCAATCAGTTAAAGTTAGGACCTCTCTTCCAGATCCCACAAAGCCTTAATTATGGAGCTCTTAGTGGTGGAGAACAGCAAAAGGGACCCAAAAATCAAAATCCTGCTTAAGGCCCTATGCAACCTTCCACCTTCCATTATTAGAGGGCCTTAGAAAATATTATCAAACTACCATTCTGAGTTTTTGAAATACGTTTGGGCTAAATGAACAGGTATCTACATAATATTTTTCTTTTTTTTTTTCCTGAGGTGTGTTTGTCTCAGTCTTCTGAGACTGAGACAAGTCTGAGTTGTCTCAGACTTCTGGAAGACAGTCATTTCCTTCCCTACAAAAAATCCATCCAGCATTATTTTTCATTTTTGGACCCAGTATATAAGAATGTACTCTTTTTTTTTCTAGTCTTCATTTTTCTTTCATTTGTATATTCTTTTAGAGCATGGTAATACAGGACATAAACATTCTTGTTATATTGGAGTGAATGAAAAAAGAAAGAATGATGTTAAAATGAAGATGAATTGCTTATAGATAAATTGCTATCTTGAAAATAATGGGGGACTGCACTGTCTTGCAGCAAGAAGGTTTCGGGTTCGATTCCCAGCCCAGGGTCTTTCTGCACGGAGTTTGTATGTTCTGCCTGTGCATGCGTGGGTTCTCTCCAGGTACTCCGGCTTCCTCCCACAGTCCAAAAACACGACTATTAAGTTAAATTGGCCTCTCCTTACTTTGTGAGTGTTTGCATGAATCGTTGCTTTGTCTCTGTGTTGCCCTGCAATGAACTGGCGACCTGTCCAGGGTGTACCCCGCCTCTAATTTTATGTCCTCCCACAGCTCTTTGGTCTTTGCCATGGTTGAATTTGGAGTCTGACCTTTTTGAGACTGTGAACAGGTGTCTCATATACAGGTAACAAGTTCAATCGAGTGTCATTAATTCAGGTAACAAGTAGAGGACAGAGGAGCTTCTTAAAGATGATGTTACAGGTCTTTGAGGACCAGGCATCTTTCTTCTTGTGGGTGACACATTACGGTACTTATTTTCCACAATAATCTACAAATCTATTCTTTAAAAATTCCCAGGATTCATGGTAGTATTCTCTCTCGTAGGAGAACTTGCACAATCAGTGGCTGACTAAATACTTTCCTAAGCACAAAAAGTGTTTTCTTTTCAAATTTATTTTCAGCAACACTCAGAATAAGTGAAAAAAAGAACAACAGAAACAAGGTATTTACCAGTACATAAAAACAATATCTAAGAGCAACAGAGAGCATATGTCATACTGCAAAAATTAAACTTGTGCTCGAGGGTTGCAATTTTTCAAGAGCAGATACAATTTGAATGGCTTTAGTGTTTTTATTGGTTTTAAAGTCTCATTATAGATGTTAATCATAGATAATAAAATCTGAGAATTGGCCATTTCTCAATATATTAGAAGTATATGAATATATTTACGATGTGAATATAAAATTTAGAATAAATAACAACCTATAAATGCTCTACATTGCAATGGTCATTTTATTCCCATTTAAATCAAGAAGATTTTTATTTGTTAGAATAATTTTCAAATTTCTTCAATGAAAGAAGTCATATGCTTCCAAACGATTTTGTACAACAGTTCCAAAAAAGACAAACAATGCTTTCTACATGATTTTTCCAGAAGTGTTTCTTTTATCTTGTTAACAGGAGAGCCTTGACTGCATAACAAACATTAGCATTGTTTTTAAAGAAATCTCTTCATTTATTTTTTTTATAATGCATTTCTTTGAATCCAATCAAGTCCACTTCCATTCTATATTTCCAAAAATGTTGCACCATTAGAACACACAGTATAATAAGCAGACAATGTCTTTAAAATAATGCTTCTTAAAGTTTTCTTTATATAAAATTACAATAATCTGTATAAATGTTACTTGAATCAAAAGATGGCACTGAATGATGAGTTGGATGTAGAGATGACCAAAGTGTTAAAGCAGGAAATGCTTTTTCATTAAAAAAATATTTAGAGACAGCTTATGGAAGATTTTACAATTAAATAAAGACACATTTAATGAACGAATTACTTTACCAATATCTCCACCTGCTGGTTGATATTTATATTACAATATGGTTGAATGTTTTACATGTTTACAATAAGTATAGATTAATGTTAAAATATATCCATATAGCAGAATACACAATAATACACAAGTTTTAGATGGTAGGATTGCATTAAAAATAGATAAACAAAACAGTAAAACTATTTAGAGCATAAATGATAAAAAAATACAATAACATTTATTACAATATTCTATTTTATAAATATTTTATATATACATATAAATTATTACATACATGTTTCCTTTCATGCAGTCAGGCAAAAAAAAATAAAAAATCAGGTGGATCTTCTGCATCATTATCAGACCGCCTTAACAATTGCTGAAGTCAGCAAATCCAGAGCCATGAACCCAAAACGGATCACCACATGATTAAATAGATAAAAAAAAAAACAGGTCGTAGCCACGCCCCCTAATCCGACCGTTTCCATAGCAACCGGAACACCTGCATATGATTGGTGGTTGGGAGTTATATGCCTGCATAGATGTTGGCCTGAAATTGGAAAGTTCATTGTCATTTGCTGCCTTTAACTCTGTGTGGTTTACTGAGCTCCTTCTCTGGCATCATGGTCGAGCAGTTTGTTGGAAAGTGGACGCTTGTTTCCAGCGACAACTTTGATGAATACATGAAGGCTGTCGGTAAGAGTTGATTTAATTAAGGATAAGCCATGTGTGCTCCCCCCTAATTGCTGATCTAATTTAAAATCATATTATTTTCTGTATTAAATGTCTAAAGGCATGAGCTTCGCCACTCGTCAGATGGGTAACCTGGCCAAGCCTAACCTGGTGATCAGTGTTGGTGATGATGGGCTTATTTCAATGAAGGCTGAGAGCACTTTGAAGACTGCTGCGATTAAGTTCAAACTGAATGAGGAGTTTGATGAGACTACAGCAGATGGTCGCAACGCAAAGGTGAGCCATTATCCTTAAACTCTTTATATCATTAAGGATCTAAGCTCACCCTCCACGATGGCAAGCCCTCATATGTTCTTATCTCTTAATTTTGAAGTCCATCTTCACAATTGAGAATGGCAAACTTGTGCAGAAACAGTCCTGGGATGGAAAGACCACTACCCTGGAGAGAGAGGTTAATGATGGAAAACTTACAGCGGTGAGTAAAATGATTGTAAACTTAATTTAACAAATCTGTTTCCCATCATGCACACAAAAGAAATGCTTTATTTTCTTGCATCTACTTAAGCATAGTTGGTTAACACAATTGTTTAATTTATTTATATATATATATATATATATATATATATATATATATATATATATATATATATATATATAAATATTAAAAAAAGTGTAGTGTAGCTCAAAGTTTAGTTTTGAAATGTAATAAAGGTCCAAAACTCAACTATTGCATCTGTTTTAATCCTTTAAATTATAAAATATTTTACATTGGGTTACACCAATTTTAAAATGACTTATGGTCTCTTATCTCAACAGAAATGCATCATGGACGATGTCGTTGCAGTCAGGACCTATGAAAAAGCGGCATGACAAGACAAAGATGAATGCAACCAGTTATTTGAAGATCTAAATAAAACTTAAATGTGATGCTACTCTTTGTTCATTTGTGGTTAATGAAAACTGGTTTGCTATGATGGCTGCTTTTTAGGCTTCAAATGTAGGGGTCTGCAGATTTTTGAAGTACAGTTATGGGTGTAGCTAAACTTCTACTCTCTATGCAAGTGCATGTGTGATGTGGGTGTTTTTAATTCTGCTTTTACAAAGCTACTTAACACAAGGCTGATTGAACTGGGATAATTTCCAAGCCTAATCAAGGCTTTGAGGCTGTAATGCCGCCTCTAATTGGTTCATGGAACTGTGTCAAAAGACTTCTATAGTAACCAAATGGGGCGAAAAAGCCCAATGTTAAACATTTATGGGTTGCTGGGAGTATGGCTGACAAGCAAAAGCCCAGTCCTTTGTATAATATGGATTTGGCAGGCCATATCCTTAGTCTGGTTGGTACCATGACGACCCCACCCCCCTTTTGCAGGAGGTCGATCTTGGATGAACCAATAGGAGAGTTGAAGCAAGGACAAATATGGTATTAATTGGGGCTCGTTGAAACTGGGTAGCTGCATGAATCCACAAAGGCTGCGGCTAAGAGCTTGAATCAGTGCAGTAGTCAAACAATAAGGGCACTGATTGGGAAGAACATGATGAACATATTCTGTCAAATCAGCAATTCCGTTGGAGGTTTGTTAGAATTGTCTCCCCACCTAACTTTTTTTTTTTTTTTTTTTTTTTTTTTTTTGGAAACGGTATTACTTTGGATTAAGACTTGCATGTGGGGGGTGCAGGATTTAGGAAGCAGACTTCCTTTGGATTGGCTTTACCCTCTTAAACACAATCACTCTATCAGCTGATGAATTCTTGTATTGTTCTAAATCCACTAATCTGCTCCTTTGGCTATGAAGAGCCTGTAGCAAAAGAATTGCTGTCTGTTCTAGTAAATGTATGTCAATCCTTTAGACTGGGGTAGCCAAAGCAGTCTATAGATCATAATGCATATCAAAGTGCATCAGAAAATAAATCAAATTTGTCCTACATTCCAGGTTTCAGTGAGTAGCAAAATTACATATGGTGGACTATAATATCAAATGAGCCGAAAGAGTTTAAAACAAAGATAATTGTTGACTCTGAAATAGATCAAGGTTTAGACTGACTCGGCCACTCTAGCAAAAAATATTCAACCATTTCTGAGGTTTCCTTTGAAGGTTATCTTGCTTTTGCATCACTCCATCTATGTTACCATTATGTTCACTGTCCCTGCAGATGTATATACCCACAGCATGATACTACTGTTACCATGTTAAAGGGTGATTTACACTTAGTTTTCTGCCAAACATTGTGCCTTCCATATAAGTCGATGCTAAAATTTTCTCTCATCTGATTAAGTAAGCACCTTCTACAGGTCATTAGTTCCCTTAGTGGCTTGTAATACAAAGAGGTCCTTTGTCATTTTTTGTGTTTTTTTTCTTCTAATTTTTTTGGGGAGGCTTATAAAAGGAAGCATCAACCATTTGCTACATTTGTATATTGTTTTTAGTTTCAGAAGGCTGTGGTCCCATTCTGATTTGCATCATCCATGTGTGCTTCTGCTGCATAATGACATCCTGCATGGTAGAAAACTGTCTGGATTCAGGATAGCAGTCCAGACTTCTTTTCATACCCATGATAGGGTTCTTACTATTGGCCCTATGAAAGGTGAAGGATCAGGAGCTAGGGGACCCTTTTTCCTTCACAATATATATAAAAAATACAATTTTACATTTCTAAACTTTAAATTGTTGGAAAATAAATCTAAAACATTTTTTTTCTAAGAAGCTGCTTCACTTTTTAAGTTGAACAGGGTCTTTAACAAACCTCTAATTAGTAGTCCACAACTTTCTGTTTTCCTAGGAATGTCTAGCAACCTGTTTTCTCTCCTTTCACCACAAATGGAAACATAGTTTGTTCCTAGCACAGCCAGACTTTAGCTGGAACTGAGCATTTTGGTCAGACAAGACTTAAATTTAGCTTTTTGACAGTTCTGTGGGAATATTCTGTTCCAAAAGTCTTGGCAAACTCAAAGACACAAAATCATCCTCCATCTTTGCTCATCTCAGTTCAAAAACTTAAACCTATGGAACCTCTGGAGGAATTTTCTAAAGCGAATAATTTAAGAGGAATCAAGATTTTGGAAGGTAAAACATATTTTATAATATACATATTTCTATTAAATATTGTTCTGAGGTCAGAGCACAAGAAACAATTGTTTCTAATCTTTTATATTGCAGATAAACATATTTTGTAAGGAGTAAAGTCAATTGAGTTCTGTAAAAATTGAAAACCTCTTTATTCTGCTGCCTCATTTTTTTTATTCCACTCAACATTGCCAGATCACTTATAAATCATTAATAGACACAGGCTGCAGACCTCTGACGTAGACAGATCACTTGTATAGCCGTACTATGCGAATTATTACAGAGGAATATGTGCTTTCTTATATAATGAGGTTTAAACAGAGAAATGATTACATTTTTATGCACGGAAGTTTTTTACTTAACATTCTCAGCGTTAGTGTGAGTTTCTATTCTGCAGAATGCTGGCATCTTGTGTCGATTGGCAATAACACATTGGACGAAACCAAGTCATTAGGGCGGGGGAGGTCACATTATGCTTTTAATGCGAAATATATTTCAAGAATATATAATGTATTGGATGATGAAAAAAAACTCATACAATTCTTTATACCTTCATGGAATTGATATTTAATAGAGAGTAACATCGCTATATCGTTCATTTTTATTAATTCCGGATGAGCTAATCCAACTCTACGTCAGTAGGTGACGCTTCGCTTTTAAACATGGCCGACCTCGAAAAAACAATCATGGAAGTGGACAAGGGGAAAAACAAACCGTTCGTAAATCAAGTGAAGGCGCAGCTTGACGATGCCACCCACATAACAGACAAGCGGAGGAGTCCGGAAGCTATTAACCAGTCGGCTGAAAGCTGCTCCACAGCGGAATACTGTGAGAAGCTCCAGGCATGGATGTGGCAGTACTACAGTGGATATGTGAACTGGCAGAGCTGGCTGTTAGCTTCAGTCCCTCCCTGCTTACAGCAGCCCAGCGGAACGTCCACTGCTCTTGTTTTTAGCGCTCAGAACGGACAAAATGCTCCCTTTGGTCTGCCACTGTTGCCTTATCCACCTACTACCAGCTTCCCGAGCAGCCGGGCGGGAGAAACCGCTGCCGGAGCCCCAGCGGCCGCTGGGCAGCAGCGGGATCAGGGGAATGCTCAAAGACAGGGTAAAGGCTAGCTTTGGACGCTCCATAATGATCGCCTTTACTTACAGATCCTGTTCAGTTTCCACAAGTGAAATCTGACAACTTTGCGGTTTGCCTTGCCGTATTCGTAATTCATTCATTCAATCATGACATGCCTTTGAATCAACAGCTTATTTCAAAGCAGAGAAAATATAAATCTATTATCAGAAATGAGAACAATTCTATTTTTGCACCCCACTTTATTAAGTTCACCATTTATATCTTTTTTAACTTTATGCCGTATCAGTTTGGATGAGGCATTAGTTCACATCAATAGGCAGGTTGAGGAAAAAGGGAAATTTTTTCTAAATTTTGTTACTTTGTTTACAACAAACTACATGTTCTAATTCATTTTTTAAGCTGATTAGCAGTAGGGGTGTAAATCACACCCATCAGGGCGATTCGATTCAGTATCGATTTCCTGACTCACCAATTAGATTATTTTCGATACTTAAGAATACACCACGATTCGATTTGATTAATTTGTTGTTGTTTTTTTAACCTTACAGGCTAGACATTGTTCAAATTTGAAATAAATCAATGAAAGCTGTGTGTTTACGTGAGTGTGTGTTAGAGGAAGTGGAAAACGGGTAGTGGCTAATGGAGGCAAGGTAGGAGGGCAAAATAGGTTTAGCGCCACCGCAGCATGGGAGTCAGAATTATGTCCAGGACCAAATAGATAAAAATAGACCAGAGGAATAAAAAAAAAAACATGAATCAATTCTCTGTGCACATGTTGATGCATTGGATCGTCGGCTGTTGGATTGATGCATCGATACAAAACAATTATTATTTACACCCCTAATCAGCAGTAGTAACACCCAGCTGAGATTGGCATTATTAAATGAAAGGAGAAAAAGTATTTCAAGCCATCATATTTGCAATAATTATTACCTTATAGAAACTGCATTGAGTTCTGGGCTTAATTCATCTTTATATGATGGTATTAGGGCTGCTCAGTGGCGCAGTGGCTAGAAGCAACCTTGCAGCAAGAAAGTTGCAGGTTTGATTCCCGGCCCGGGATCTTTCTGCATGGATGGTTTGCATGTTCTCCCTGAGTATGCATGGGTTTTCTCCTGGTACTCTGGCTTCCTCCCACAGTCCAAAAACATGACTGTTAGGTTAATTGACTTCTCTAAATTCTCCTTAGGTGTGAGTGTGTGCGTGAATGGTTGTTTGTCTCTGTGTTGCCCTGCGATGGACTGGCGACCTGTCCAGGGTGTACCCTGCCTCTTTCCCGTAGACAGCTGGATAAAGCGTGTCAGAAAATGGATGGATGGATGATGGTATTAGTCACTGTTTGGGAACAGCTGTAAAATGTTATTTATTTTTTTAGATAAACTGTTGAAATGCATTAGCAAATACATTGCATTTATTTAGGCAATGCTTCTGTGACTGACATTTTTGCATTATTAGGGTTACATAATGAACATAATCTCTGCTTAGAGATTTTCTTATTGTTCACTAAGCCTTTAAAGCCAAAAATGTAAAGTCTCAACTACTCCTTGAAAACTTTTTATTTCTCAGGTTTGGATGAAAGTAAAAACAATAAAATTTGATTGTAGATTGCAGGTTCTGCTCCTTTAAAATCCTGAAGCTAATTTATTGTTCCTACTGCTTCTATCCAGGTCGAGAGTACAGCATTCCTTCACCTCTCCAAAGACTTATGGCAGAGATTGTGGATTTCTTCATATTGTTTTTCATAAAAGCAACCATAATTATCAGTATCATGCACTTAAGTGGAATTAAGTGAGTATATTCTTTAAAAAAATGTTTTTTTTTTGTTTTTTCTTACTGTTTTTGTTCATCCCATTATGAAACTTAAACATATGCAGCATCTTGTATAACCTTTTCACTTTATCAGATAGACTACCTCAAAGTATCACTTAATGACATGGTAAAATAAATATATGACTTAATGGAGAAGTGAAAAATTGCACATAAACTTTTTAATGTCGTTGCAAAATGCAGTGTAATAAAAAAAAAATTGCTGCTCATGTCTTTCAGTACACCATCCCCCTGGTGTAACTAAAGCCGGGCATACACTGCGATATTTTCAATCATTGCACTCATCTACTGCTCAGACTATATGACCAAACTGCAGGGTTTAAAAGTTCACTGCTCAGGATGCATGTTCTCGCACTGATGCGAGCTTACAACGGCCGACTGAATTTCAAACATGTTTTGATTTTCTCCAGACCTCACGATTCGTGAGGTGGTCGTGAGAGGCTGATCTCCTCCTCGTTACCCCCTGTACACTACTCAAAGCACAATCAGGCTGAAACTCGGCCCGATCGAAAAATTCTCGCACGACTGGAGAATTGGTAAAAAAGGGCAAAAAATTGTACAGTGTACGCCCGGCTTAAGTGGTGGTGGGATCATGCTGTGGGGTTGTTGTTTCGTAGCAGCGACGGGGAGATAGATGGAGCTAATAACAGGACAACAGTGGAAGAAGAACTTGTTGGAAGCTGCTACAAAAAGCATCCAATCGAAACTTGGGTAGAGTTGTTCCTCCAAAACAACTTTCAACATACAGCTATAGTTGCTAAGTAATGGGTTGGATCAAAGCACATTCTTAAAGATGGACCAGAAAAAGTAAAATCCTCACTCCATGTTAGAATCGATGGTGAGATTTCATCACATATATTCTTCATCCAAATTGAGTTTGGACTATTTTGTAAAGATGAGTTGGCAAAATTTTAATGACATGCAGCTGTTATTCTAGTGGCAACCGGTTTTACAAAGTATTCAAATTTTTTAGGTTTTAAAAGGTTTCCTTCACGATTTTATGTACTGTTTTGTGTTTGTCTATGAGATACTTGAGGTTTGTTGAGGTGCTCTTGGTGAGAACATGAAACAGGTTCTCAAAGTGGAAAAACTTATTTTGTTTTCATCTGTCTTTTGTTTCATCTCAGAGATGTTTCCAAATTCGCCATGCATTTCATCGTGGAGGAAATTGATGAAGACACGTCAATGGAGGAGCTGCAGAAAATGATGCTTGTGGCCCTCGTGTATCGGATTTTAGTTTGTTTTTATGAGGTGAGGAGCTTTATTGACCACCCATAGGTCTCCTAAATGCCAGTTGTGTTGCTCCAAATTGCAGTCATGAAATGACGAAGATCTATTTCCTCCGTCTGCATTCAGATTATTTGCATTTGGGGAGCTGGAGGCGCCACTCCGGGGAAATTCCTCATTGGACTCAGAGTCGTTACGTGCGATTCGTCGGTTCTGGTTCAGCCCAATAGAGTGCTAGTAGTGCCAGCAACTAATGTTTCCCTGTCAGCGTAAGCAACGTCTTTAACTTTTTTTTTTTCTGTTGTATTTAATCTATCCTAGCTCAGCCTAAAATCATGACCTTGTCCTTTTGTCTTCCTCTGCAGGTCAACTGTCCGAGCCTTGAACAAGAACTTCTCCATAGCTTTCTTTTTCCCAGCCTTTATCACGCTTCTCTTCTTCCAGCACAACAGAACTGTCTACGACATGGTGGCTGGTACGATAGTTGTCAACCGCTCCAGAGTCAGATGATGCTGTAATGAAGGACAGGAAGAGGATGGATAAATTAAATTGCAAGAGTAAAATAACAAAACGGTGACATTGCTGTGAAGAGAAGACATGTGGGACAGGTGCTGCGTGTGGAACACTTACTGAGGTTCTCTAATGGATCACTGCGTGGAGGTTCTGCGTTCGCAGTCTGTTTTATGCCAAATCTTAGCTGTATTTAACACAGGAGGAATGAAAGTGAACACATTTCCCTTTCAGTTAACACAAGCTTTGCCTTATTTGATATCTTCTCCCTATTACAGCTGGAAGCCATGCCTGGATCAGTGTTTGACTTTCTACTAATGTATTTATGTTCTTGTATCCCTCAGTATCTCTTTGCATCACAGGCATGTTCACTGTATTAAATGAAACCCAAACATCAGTTGTAGAAAAATACCAAAATAGGAGATATTTTATTATATTTAAAATTAAAAAGTATGCTAATTGATACCAGAAACATTTCAGAAAAAAATACTTCTTAATGGTATGCATTACATCTGAGCATTGCTGAAAAGTATTAAAAACTCAAAAAATGTGATCTTTGTGGAAGTTGAATGTGCTTAATGGTGGCTTTAGGTTTGAATTATAGTTTAGAGGTCACATTTATGACACTTCAATTTGAACCAACAGGGTTTGAAAAGATTTTGGAGGTAAATAAGTAATTCCAACTAAAGTATCCAATCCCTTTTTGAGGCATTACTCTTTGAGGTTTTTTGGTATTAGGCTTGAACTTTTCTTCTTTCATATTCAGATTTCTCCTGATTCAGGATGCTGCATAGATCCCCCACCATCAAATGAAATTCAACCTGTTCCTTTTCAAATGGAACAGAAGCTCTGTATCTTATAAATACACCCGTTAATATTTATATCTTATAAGTCGATACGTTCTGTATTTAGGTATCACTCAGTGACTCGAAAAGGATTGTTCAGATTTATTTCAGCAGCTTTTTGCTTAGACCATTCAATTTTCAGTTGATGATCCACACTGCTTATTACTGCAATTAAAAAAAGCTATTTTTTTTGTGGCACATACCAAATGTATTTGAATGAAAACATAAATTCTCCCGTGTGCACACCTGGAGAGTCTTTACTGGGACAAAGCTGAGGTGTGGCAAGTTTGCACCCCTAAGAATATTTAGCATTTATCTAAATTAAATGAAAAGACTCCCAGTTCTAAGTGTTTACGTATTTTTTATTTTTTTTTCTGCTGTGTTTTAACTATTTAATTCCACAATATTTACAGCTTTCTCTAAAATCTTGAAAAATCTTTCATTGAGGATGGGTATTATAAATGTATCTTAGTGGTAGAAGCAGAACAATCTAATATTTGAGTTTACTCACTGAAGGTGGAATTTTTTTTTTCGAGCAATATATTTATATTTTTTTTACAAAATCATTGCTATAATAATAACAACCCTAAATTGAATTTAACTTGAGCATTGTTTTATTGTAAGGGGTCCTCTGCAGCCTTAGACTTCAGTTTTCTCTTTCTGTTATTACAGTTTTCCAGATCCTGTCTGGCAAAATATCAAATATTTCAGACTTAATTTTTTGTATTTAGGTAAAATCTGGTCTTATTTTAAACAAATCAAAACTTCGATTTGAGTCAAAACCAATTTTTTGTTTTGTTTTATGACTTTCTAGGAAGCATGGATGAAACCTGTTCTTCAATAATGAAAACGTTTAACTTTTTATTCTCTTCATTGTTTAAAAGTGAAACCTTTCAAATGTGGTTAATTCAATTTAAATTCATTCATTCATTCAACTTAAGTTCATTCATGCCTATTACAGCAATGAAGCTTATTTTTAAAGTTTTCCAAGTCAAATTATAATCATGTAATCTGCTGAATATACTGTAAAACCCCAAAAGGGCAAAGTTTCAAAACATTAAATAATTTCAGAAATGTAAAACAAGGTATCATGAAGAGTCTGGAAATTAAATATGTTAAAATGTGCAGAAACCTGGTATTTTATACTTTATTTTCTATGGTAGCCAATGTGAGAGACTCAGTTTTTCATAGTTTTCTGTTTCCTTAAGGATGTAAAAAAAATTTAACACAGCCCTTGTTTTGTCCAACTTCAAATTATTAAGATGAAGACCACCCATATGACATTATGACATTCAGGAAACAACGTATTCACATCTACATTCAGACTTCTAATCAGAAGTTTCAAATCAATCAATAAAATTCATTTCAGCCGCTTGTATCCGGGATCTCGTTCTTTAGGTCATGACCCAAAGCTAATGACCATAGATGAGGGTAGGAAGGTAGATCAACCGGTAAATCGAGAGCTTTGCCTTATGGATCATCTTTCTCTTCACCACAACTAACCAGTACAATGCACGCTTCAGAGCAGACGCTCCACCAATCTGCCTGTTGATCTCCTGCACCGTGTTCCCCTCTTTCGCATACAAGACACCGATATACTTAAACTCCTCTACCAGGGGCAGTATGGTGGTTTAACTTAACAAAAAATAATTAGAGAAACTTGTGGCCTCTAGTCACTTTTTGAAGGGGCAAGGAGACCAAACATGCAGTGAATAAGATCCATATTGGTCAATGCAGTGTAGCCTACATATGAGCTGCAAACCTGTGAGGCTTTTTCTGAGTCCAAAAAGGCAAAACACCATTTAATTATTGCCAGTTTACAGAAGGGTGCAAAAATTGTGCAAAAGCCATGATTATAGAAACAAGCGGACACATCTGCAGCAGGTAGAGACGACTGAACCAGAATTAATGAAAGATGCATTAAAGCTAGATAAGTAAGCACTAAACAGGGGATGTCAAATTTTAGTCCCATGAAATGATTCCATGCACTGAAAGCACTTCTTACAGTGGTGAAAATGGTGGCAATGCATGGACACTTTTTCACATATTTTGGAGCAGATTTTACAAACAAAATCGTAAAAAATGTAAACATATTTGGTTAATGTGACTCGCGTCCCTCGCTTGCAAATGGCAGTGAACAGAAGTGTTTTTAGACCAAGAAGAATAAGAAGACTAAAACAGATCAATCTTTTTTAAAGTAGTCAAAGGAAACCTTTGCATCTGTAATATTTACGTACCCCTTACCCCTAAAAAAAAAAAAAAAAAAAAAAAAAAAAAAAAAAAAAAAATATATATATATATATATATATATATATATATATATATATATATATATATATATATATATATATATATATATATATATATATATATATATATATATATATATGATTTTTTAGTAATTGTGTTTCTGTTAGGAAAATATATTGGCTTTAAAATACAAAAATAAGATTTCTTTTAAAACTCATGCCCATGAGGACTTCATCTTAAAGATTTAAAATCACTTTGTAAATTATTATTTTCTTCTTCATCCAAATATGTCACAGTTGAATGAATTGATGCGTGATTGTTTAATCCAAACAATATGTCTCAAAAGAGTTTTAAAAATGACTGAACCCAAACTGAAGGTTATAAATTTATTTGTGCTAGTGCTCCATCTAGTGTACATTTAGTATTTATACAATTAAATTAGTCAGGTATTTTAGGGAATAATTTCACTGCACTGGACCACATATGTTTCATTTGATGAATACATTTGTACAAGAGTCCCATGTCATATAATCCCAGATGATTATATGACATTATTTAGAATTCAAATCTAAAAACTGCTGTCCTGAATAAACAATTCCCTCACTCTTCATTGTTTTCTGGGATTTTTTATTGGACATCCTACTGGAATGAGGATAAGGAAGCTTGTTCTGATAGCAAGAGTTGACATGTCGATTGTTCCAGGTTCTCTAAGTATCAGATTCAGATGACAGCCACAGATGGTGCTGCCAGATTACAGTGACCCCCTCTGTGGCAAGCATCATACCACAAGAACTAGTTTAATATAACCCAAAGACAAGAGGATTCTTTCTGAGGACTGGGAGATATAGGTAAACCCCATCTTGTTCAACTGAAAATTTGTAAAAATGCTAAAGCACAGGCAGATTGACAAACATTTTTTCTTTAGAATCTATTTTGTGTTCAAATATGGTATTAAGGGTGAAAAATCAGGAGCATATTTTTCTTTTTCCCTTTTTTAGTAGTTGTCAAAGAAAGATGAAAACACAAAGAGCTGCAACTGTGTGCAATCCTTGGTATAATCCCCCAACATTCTCTGCTATATGACAGTCTGATGCCTTAAAGTCCCACTGCTTGCTGCCACATGGCCTGCCATACGTTGTGGAGCTGATGCTGTGTCCTGCCGGAGCTCCTGCCATGCTTTTTTTTTTAACAAGGGAATCAGCCAGCAGAACGGGGGGGATTCAGAGCTACCTCTGACAGCCATGTGTAGGACACAGGAGGACGAGGGAAACAGTCTGGACTTGACTGGACTAAAGCATTCTCTGTGAGAGATGATGTATTTACCATCAGAGTCGTTATTTGCTCCTCAGGTTTCTCAGTAATTAACAGGTGGGTGTTGCTTCCACACAGCAGCAGCAGCTGCAGCACAATCCAGGTGTTTTTGAAGTGGTGGAAAGGTGACGTGGGCGGAAACACTGTCTGTAGTTGTTGTTGCTGCTGCTGCTTGTTGCTTACTCAGTGTGTCTGTGCCTGTTGGTAGTCTTCTCAAGTGGAGTCTGTAATGACAGGCTGGCTGAGCTCTGCCTGAGAATAAAGAGCTGTAGAGAAAGAGCAGACACGCTGACTTGGAGAGACTTGGAGAGATGACATTTTACCCCCAGTTTTTCATGTTATAAGCTCAAACAACAATGGTTTGCATTATCAAAAAACAAAACAAATTAGTGCATTAGTAAAAAGCAGGGAGAGGAAACGTGGTGTAAAAAGAGGATTGTTTACAATGTGGAAAATAAGTATTTGAAAACCCTGCTATTTTGCAAATCATGGAGGGGTCTGAAATTATCGTTGTAGGTGCATGTCCACTGTGAGAGACATAATCTAAAAGAAAAAATCACAATGTATGATTTTTTAAACTATTTATTTAAAAGATACAGCTTCAAATAAGGATATGAACACCTGTCTATCAGCTAGAATTCTGACCCTCAAAGACATGTTGGTCTGCCTTCAAAATGTCCACTTCCACTCCATTTACTATCCTAAATTAAATGCACCTATTTGAGATTGTTAGCTGCATAAAGACACCTGTCCACCCCATACAATCAGTAAGAATCCAAATACTAACATGGCCAAGACGAAAGAGCTGTCCAAAGACACTAGAGACAAAATTGTACACCTCCACAAGGCTGGAAAGGGCTAAGGGCAAATTGCCAAGCAGCTTGGTGAAAAAAGGTCCACTGTCAGAGCAATCATTAGAAAATGGAAGAAGTTAATCATGACTGTCAATCTCCCTTGGACTGGGGCTCCATGCAAGATGTCACCTCACAGGATCTTAATGATCCTAAGAAACGTGAGAAATCCGCCCAGAACTACACAGGAGGAGCTGGTCAATGACCTGAAAAGAGCTGGGAGCACCGTTTCTGA